CGGGTCGCGACCAGAGTCGCGGAACGAATTAAGTTCGTGAACCGAGGTACCACTGTACTTTTACTGGATTAAGGATGCAAAGATGCAAAGTGTGTGGGATTACATCACACACATGAATACAGCTAGGATTTTCCATTTCCTTGCTTTTGTGGGGAATTTTGCAGCTTTAAAAAAAATATGTAGCATTATGCCTATTTTAAGGGTTACACTACAATTAACATTAACATTGTAGGAAACAGTGTCTGTTTTCAGGAACAGTGATTAGAGGGGAACCCAAGACCACAAAAAGTTAGTTTGTGCAGTTGTTTGGCTGTAAGTTGTTCACCTCCACTTTTTAGGCCAAAACTTTTGCCCTAAATTAGTCCTCACACATACACAATGGTGTATGTGAAAAACATCTCAGGATTGTGCTTGATCACAGGCTGAACACAAATTAGAAGCGCACTAGGGCTGTAAGGTAAGAATGACTAATGAGTTTTTTAGGCTGCAGTAACAAAATCCTAGTGCCAAGTCATGGCAAGGAACCTTTCTCCTTTTTTCTGCACTAAACAGCCCTTCAGAACCTTCTGGAGATCAGAAACCACTTTTGGCCATCACACTTAAGAAGAAATGTAAACCAATTGGGAAAAGGGCAACTCAGATGGTCCAAAATACAAAAAAAACAGTTGCAATTAACAGAAAACTGAGGGGGAGGCATAACAACACTCCCCAAAGTACCTGAAGAGCTATCATGTAAAGACATCCTTTGCTACCAGGAAGGCAGGTTTACCTCTAGTAAGTTTCAACTGCAAATGGCAATTTTAGCTGAACATTAAAAGAAATGGGTTGCTGTAAGAGCAGTTCAACAATGGAATTGATTAACTGGAGGTTCAGGCTTTTCCCTTATTGTAGGTCTTCAAACAGAGGGTGGGCTGCCATCAATTGCAGATACTCTATTCTTGCATCAACAGTGGATTAGAATAATGGACTCCAGTTCTCTTCTAGGATAGTCCTACTATTTCAGAGATAATAGGTCCATATGTCCATCACAAAATCTTTTGAGGATTAAGGATTTGCTTCAACATATGGAGTTATTAAAAGATCTCAGCTATGTTCTGAATACCTCTCTAATATCCTAAATTACTATACAGATCAATGGTCTGGCAAGTATGAGACCATGGCTTAAACTCCCACTGTGTTCCATTATCAACACACACACTTACCACGAGTCTCCTGATCCTCTAATGTACTTTCCTTTATCCGATCTCGTTTCCTATGTTTGGGGCCATGGGTTCTGTGATGTCTGTGGCCTGGTCTAACCAAAGGCATCCGAACCCCAACATACAATGTCCTGTGCCCTGGAATAAAAGCAAACTATCAGGTATTTATACCTTTGACTTTGTTGGAACCACATCAGTCCATTTCACTGTAACTGCTCTTTATAACTACCAGTGATACAGAAAGCTCTCTTCCTAGCCAAAGCCATCATTATGTTGACATAGACCTTGGAACATCAGTTCAATATATTTTTGATTGCCATCATATTTTACATAAATTGTATACAGGCATTCCTCATTTAGCGACCACAGTTGGGACTGGCAACTTGGTTGTTAAACGAAGCAGCCAGTAAGTGAAACCATGACTATGCATATGATCTTACCTCAGCTTTCCTTTGCTTTACAGACCTGCAAAGGTTGTAAATGCAACGATTGGTCATAAAGTTACATTTTTATCACTGTCATAACTGTGAACGTTGCTAAACAAGGCAGTCACTAAACAAGGACTACCTATATTTTAAGCTGTCATTACACACCAGGCAAACTGGGCCAGTTTTCATACCATGCTAATCCATAAGGCTTGGTTACAACACAACTGTTCATAACTGTTGGCTCTTCTTCAGTAGTGCAGCTAGTGAAATACCATTCTGAGATTTCCTTAAAGCTAAGTATATCATCCAAATACAGGTAGTCCTCACTTAACAACCACAATTGGGATCAGAATTTAGGTCGCTAAGCAATGCAGTTGTTAAGTGAATCGTCATGTGACCGGACCCGATTTTATGACCTTTTTTGCAGCAATTGTTAAGTGAATTGCATAGTCATGAGGAAATCACACAGTTGTTAAGTGAATCACGTGGTTCCCTGTTGATTTTGCTTACTGGAAGCTGGCTGGGAAGGTCGCAAATGGCGATCATATGACCCTGGGATGCTGCAACCTTCATAAATACATGCTGGTTGCCAAGCACCCAAATTTTGATCATGTGACCATCGGGATGCTGCAATGGTCATAAGTGTGAGGACTGGTCATAAGTCACTTTTTAGCGCCATCGTATCTTTGGACAATTGCTAAAAGAATGGATGTTAAGTGAGGACTACCTGTATGGGATACAGGATGCTTCCATCCAGAATGAACTGAGGAACTTAACCATCAACACATCTAACAGAACATGATTAAATCTTCTAGTTTTGGACAGGCACTGCATTCAGAAGACATCCTTGGCTCAAAACGAATAACAATTTATTTATTTATTTATATTTCAAATTAGTCACCACCCATCTCACTGCAAAGTAGCTCAATGAATAGTGTGCTAACTACATTAAGAGAACAGGTGTGCATTTATTTATTTCCTTGCTTGTTTCCCATTAAAAGAAATCTCAAAGTGATTTATATTTAAAAATTACAATTAAAAAGAATTTTAAAAGGTTAAAACAATTGATAAAAACATACGTTAAGAAACAAAAGTAGCACTAAAACAATTAAAACCTACAGCCATATTAACACATTCTTAAAAGCTTGGAGGAATAAAGAAGTCTTTGCCTGGGGCAGAAAAAGCAGTAACAATGGTGCCAGAGTTCTACCACTGAAAACAACGGTTCTCAGATAGCCACTTATTACACCTCAGCATGAGAGGGTACCCAAAACAGGCCTTCTGTTACCCATCTTTAGGGGATGGGTAGGAACATATGAAAGGAAATATTCTTTCAGATACTGTAACCCCAAATGATGAAGGACTACGTATATAGGTTAAAACCAGCACCTTGGACTGGGCCTGGAAATGATCTGCAAGCCAGTAAAGATCATAAAGAACTGGTGTGATGGATTTGATGATGGATGTATCAAACTTTCTGGTTTCTAGATCTGAAATAGCTAGGTAAAGCCTTACGATCAAAACAAGCACCAAAAGTGGGAAGGCTCTAATCCAGCATTACCATGTGGACAGTAGCCAAATGTCCATTTTTAGATGTCTGTTGCCATGAACTGCTCATCTGAGAACATAATCTGACTGCTGCATCTTTCCGGCTTACCTTTCTCTATATTTTGTTCATACCACCTGATGTTCTCCACTGTAACTAAGCATTGTCTCTGTCTCTAGCGGGCATGCGTCTAGCCAGGATGAACACGCTACCATGAATTTCACATTTGCTCCTGGTGAGAATTCCCTAATGTTAATGGTGTAAACGTGTTGCAGGCTCAGGGGGAATCACACTGACATAGGAAACGAGAAACAGGAGTGCCTTTTGTAATTGCTTACACATTGTGCAAGGAAGAAAATTTCTCGTAAAGAGGCCTATACACTCAGGAGAATGGGACTGGAAGAAAAGATGATGAAATGCCCTTGGTGCATACTGGTGATAGAAATTCAGATATCTGGGTAGATTGGGATCAGCATGGGTAAGCAGGAAAGGAGACCACAATCTTTTGAACAAACCCGTTTTAGAGATCTATTTACACCTGCATTATGACTCACCAAGTTAAACACAGCTGTACACAATGGCCTCTTGGGTATTTGACAGTTTCCTTGCTTTTGCAGTTTGAGGTAGCTAGCAAAAAAAAAAAGTTATAAAGGGAAGACTCCTTATTCAGAAGCTCACTATGCCAAAAAAAAGGATTAAAACTAAAACCTACATCAAGATACAGCCAAGCCAATGTCCTGACAATGGACTGAATCATGTGGAGACAGACATCAACTACAACTTATTAATTTCATTCAAAAACTCACAGCCGTCCTCTGCACACTAATTGTAATGGTTTGTGGGAATGACCTTGGGAGACAGGAGTAGTAGTTGCAGACTGGACAACCACCATGCAAAAGGTATTTCAGCCCACAGAAGGAAAAGGGGCATGGAAAGCATCTCAGAAGGGACCCTCCCTAGATTTCTGGAAAGTAAAGGCAAGGAGGGGGGGGGAGAAGTGCTTCCAGACTTGCAAGATTCTGTTACTGTAACCTTACAATAAAGGTAGTGTTAGTACTCATGGTTTGTGCTTCTTGTCTGGACTACCTCAAAGGGGCTGGCACTTATTTTGCAATAAGCTCTGTTTAATGCAGTGGGGCTTCCTTTGCATGTAGTCTGGAACAGGGTGGCTCCAAGACAATATATGGATAGCTCATTTTTGCTGTCTTTTGTTCTATCAAGCTAGTACAGGTAGTCCTCAACCTATGACCACAATTGGGACTGGAATTTCTGTTGCTAAGCAATGTAGTTGTTAAGTGAGTCACACCTGATTTTATGACCTTTTATACCATGGTTGTTAAGCAAATCATGTGGTCGTTAAGCAAATCTGGCTTCCCCCATTGACTTTGCTTGTCGGAAGCCCCCTGGGAAGGTCACAAATGGTGATCACGTGACCCTGGGATGCTGCAACCATCATAAATACATGCTGCTTGCCAAGCGCCCAAATTTTGATCATGTGACTGTGGGGACATTGCGATGGTCCTAAGTGTGGGGACCAGTGGTAAGTCACTTTTTTCAGTGGCATAACTTCGAGCAGTTGTTAAACAGATGGTCATAAGTTGAGGACTACCTGTAATTTCTTCAAACACATTTGCATTCCCCATCACTGCAGTGCTTAACTTTCTAACAAACAGAAAAAGCAAAGTGCATGCAAGTGTATTTGGAAGTAACACTTTTCTGACTTTGTAAGACCTATCTCACATTGTTCATGCTGTAAATCTTTAGGGATGAGGAAAGTTCACTCAGTTCATGTACAGAGGCCCTCTTTCCTTTATTATTACTCCACTTCCAAGCCTGAAACCTAGCAATGAAAACGCATGCCTGGATTCACAAGAAAGGAAAGGTTTTGTGACATTTTGTTTCTCTGCTCTTTATTACTAATTTAAACACATTGTGCCAGACAGGATCCAGAACAAGAATAAAGAGAATAATGTATAACAAATAGGAAAAGGAGCTACAGAAAGATGTATTTATTTATTTATGGCCCCTTTGTACTGACTCTCAAGAATGACTTCCCTTTAGTATAAAAGGAATTATTTATTGGAATTGACAATCTGCTTGCTTTTGAGGATGTGATAAAGACTTGAAGCACACAACATACATAAGCCATTTCTAAATCCCTTAAAGAAGATTAGTATCTTAAGTGAAAGTTACAAATTTAAATTTAAAAAAAAACTGACAGCACATTCCTATGCATGCTATTGAAGAGTAAGTCCACTGTGTTCAACAGAGCTTACTCTATATATAACCTGATACTCTCCAGATGTGTGGGCCATCTTGGCTTGCATGATAACAGCTGAGGAACAATGCTTCTGGGAAGTACCAGACTGAGAAAAATCGCTGTCAGATGTATACAAATAGTGAAGTAAGGCACGGGCAGGGGACACCTTGGGGCACACAGACGTAAGGGACCCTGGAGTCCCCCTTGCCCCATGCGACAATCAGGTCACATGAGGCCCCAATAGAAGCAGTATCAGAGGAGTAGTATGGAAGGAAGGCAGGAGCACCAAGTGCAGAGGGGCTTCCACTGCTACTACACCTCTTCTCTTCCATGTCAGCCATCACAGTAGCCTCCTCTTTCTCCTCTAATCACTCAGATCTCCCAGAAGTAGGGTGAGAAGAAGACAGCCTATGTAGTGAAAGAGCCCTGAGAATTGTCCCAGTACTCACTGCTGGCATCTCTCTTCATTTCTTGTGGAGCTCAGCCATGTGGCTTTTTTCCCTGCCCGCCCTTAATGGCAACAGCAGAAGAGAAGCTCAGTGCCTGAGTTCTCTCACTAGGGGGTGGGAGCATTTTAGAGAGCTCTACTTATGCCCCTGGTTGCCATACTGAGGCCCAAGGTAACTTGAAATTGCAAATGAAGGATACAAATGCAGTGCATAATTATCAGAATTTGAAACACAGCACAGTAAATTTAAAATGTGGTATGGATTCAATCAAGATTATTTCCTCAAAAAGTTATTCCCAACATATGTGTGTAAAATCTGATTTCATCTCCAAATGCATCCATTTAAATCTCAGATGATAGATTCTGTATTTATATTATATTATA